TTACCGGGGGACCCAAAATGTGGCAAATGTAATATGATGATCAAACTCTCCATTAAAATGCCAACCGATGACCTACGTGTTACGGTCTCACGGCGACTAAAACGAAGCCAACATTTCAAACTAATCAAATTCGCAACGGCCATAAATGCTGATTTGTGAATATTTTCTGGATCAATGATCGTGTACGAGTTATTAGCTTCATTTGATTTCTGCCAAAAAACCAACTACTGCTCTCGTGTTCCTCTTCCTGTGTTTTCATATCGGGAATTTCCGGTAACTGATTGGAGGTGGTTTTGTGTTCGTGGTCAACTATCTGCAAATATCTCGAGTATGATGTGAGAATAAATATCACTGGCTCAAAACGTATTATCCATTCATCGTTCGCGTTAATCATCTAATCGTATTCCCGAATGTACCCATTAGTTTCTTCCTTTTCACCTTCGGAAATCTGCACTACGTAATGCGTAACTCCTTAACTAACGTGATCTCACAACTAGGAATCTTCAAAAGGGAATTAACGCACGACATGCTTCCTAATCGACAACCGCAGATATACTAAACGCCTCAGTCGACTGTTCCACTCAGACGCTGGACGGGTGAATCGGAATGAAAAAGTGGCAAGTTAATCCAAAAATGCCTTACTATATCGGAACCAAGAAATTAAAGTTTCGAAAAAACCTCAAATAATTTGTCTCTAAAAGGAAACCCATTTGAACTCAAAACCTTTGTTCGAAATTTTTCCTAATGTTACTAACAAGGCTACAAATATTGGGCAACCGAGTTAATTGATAAAACTTTGAACCGGATTGACCCCTCTATATTACCACGCACGTGCACAAAAACCTATAAAGACAATTGGATTTTATATTTAATTCGTTGTAAGCTGGAAGGCTAGGAAGTACTGGACAGCTGTTTCGACCTGTTTGGGTCTCACCAGCAGTGTGAATGCACCGACCCGATGGAGGATTTGACCTATAATCGTATTTTTCAAAACAGATAAATACATGGAGCTACATCTTTCGATTTTATTTGCTGGATGAGATTAAATAGAACGATATCATTTGAAAAATCTTCATTTCTCAAACGTACCCATTATAATAATTGCAATTAGGCAGATGAGCAGAGCCTTGTCTGCTCATATTTATGTTTTGGGTATTACTGGGTATTACAATTTATTCAGCAAACAATTATCACGGAGCGCTATCGATGGCCCAAGAGCTTCAATCAAGATGTTAATGCAAATACATCGTCGCTGGTTTCGTACATTCCGTCGTTTCATCTTTAAGGTTGGCGCGAGTGACTCTAAAAAATTTGAACCATTTTAACAACTGCCCCTTATGTTTATGACTATATAGCTGACTGTCCAACATATAACGACACTGTTGCAAAATTGGAGAAAATCTAAGTCAAACATCAAACAAAGTTTTCAAGCACCGCCTGGTGGATACATGTAAACAAAAAAGGAACAGAGTTTCAATCAGTTTTCTTTTCAGAGATCAAAATCATTAGAGATTGCAACTTCCGGCGTGTAACGGCCCAATAGGATCGGTGATGTAATACTAGATGCCTTTATAAGCAGCACTGTGCACCAGCTTCCCCTAAAACACAAGGCTGGACGGGACAGAGGCCTAGAACTAGCGCGTTCTCTGGAACTAACGCAGCAGTAGTCCGATGCTTTTAATTTAACCTAGATCTCTTATCCAGTCTCGGCATCTGCTTCCAATCGGCCTCCAGATACTCAATCACCAACTTAGACCAAAGAGGTTGATTCGACTACGATGACATTGACCTCTGCGGTTTTGAAATACAAGCGCCCCTTCTGTGGTTACGACCGTCATGTGCACCTCAGTTGACCGGCTAAAGATGCTATCTGAGGAAATCGTGAAAAGAAAAGTCACTTCAAACAAGTTTATCAATCAGGGTGTTCCAGAAAACACAAGTTTCGCTACAGAATCTGTCCTGTCTACGGTGATCGCCGCCTGTAAAATTGACTGTCTGTCTAAGACAACGATAATCTGTTTCAGGCTGTGTTAAATACGGGAATTTCAGATGTTTAGCCACTTTGGCCGTGCGCGAATGCAATTAACAGGTTACACAGCCCTCTAAGGTTATTTCCATGGCTTCCACTTATCTCACTAGCAGCCAGCACGGTCACTGCATCATCACCGCAAACATCAAAAACAACAGATATAACAACCCTAAGCTCTCCATGCTTCTTTAGCTCTTTGCACGTGTTTCTCGGACAAAACGAAAAAAGTCGAAGTCCCCTTCGGTGATTTAAGACCGCCTTGCTCTCTCTATGGCATGGCAGCTGCACATCGCACCTCTATCTCTATCACATGATTGCAAATCAATCACAATAAAAATCCATCAGACAACTGATGATAAGAATTTTATCTGACTAGATGTTATCAGACTACTGAAAGGTAACATCACTACACATTCAACATCTCCCTGGCGTTCTCAAGTGTTTATTACCAAATGAAAGTTACAAACACCGTATAGCCATTGAGTACAGTTAAACTATCAATCGTTATATTTTGTTAACACTTATCCCTACCTAGAATTGATGACATTATGTTAGAAACTAGTGTTACACTGTATTCAGCACACTAAACCTACGAAGTGCGTATTATTAATCACCATCTTTAAACGTGAACGACAATATACAGCTATTGAAGCCTGTGGAAATCTCTATCAGTTTTGAAGGATACCCTTAGGACTTACGATTGTATGCTTGTTTTCAACACACAATGGATAAAATCTAAAGAAAAACGAGATAGATGTTACTTCTGTTTATATTAATAATGTAATAGTATGTGGTATTGACAAAATCTTGTCCAACTTCCTCCGATTGTCCTCTATGAATAGAAAAGCATTATTGTTGCTAGATATTCGAATGCTGATTTATAAGGTATTTCGTGAGCAGATAAAACCCCATTCTGAAGGGTTATAATCTCTTCGGGAATCACTCCCGTCAAAAGACGTCAAATCTCAGCGACGAGTCGTGGGAAATCCTGCGGTACACTCGAGCTCTGGTATATTACATCCAAGCATGGTATGCACTTTGCCCCATCCAAGTGCAAAGTGCTTTTTCAAGACTGGAAGGAACCTGTCCCTGTACTCCCCCCTTGTGGGGAGTGAGAGAGAGCTTTAAGTCCCCCGGGAGTTGGATCGCAGTTGGTGGTGGAATTGGGGGTGAGATCACATCACGATTGGTAAACTCTAAGACTGCTTTCGCCTATCTGCGACACTT